CACCCCGAAATAGGTATCAACTTTTCTGTTGAGCCTATTTTTTTTTTCGGTATATCCGTTGAAACTCGAAAACTGGAGCCTTTTCGAATTTTCTGACGCCGGATTCGTGATCAGCGACCCCGATTTACCCTAAAACGGGTATCCACTTTTTCTGTTAGATTTTGGCTGTCGGGCGGTGTTATAGAATAGGTGATATGCCGGAACCGAATTTCACTCTTGGCTCAAGCAGCATGCGTACCGGGAGAATTCGCAGCCCGGACAATTGGTTCGGACAGTGTACATTGCCAGACCTTCCTATGATGCGACGGCAGAGGACTGTGGGCTAGTCGCCCCGAGCTTAGGGTAGCTCGATGAGGCTTCATCCACACAGCTCTGGATCGCGGTCGAGCAGTTCGGATGACCCGAGGGAGACTTATCGGGGGACACTTGTCTCCAGGGGTACCGCCGCTCGCTGAAATCGGTCGCGTGCGGAATCCTTCAGGCGCAATACGGTCCCAACGCCTGCGGTAAGCTTATCGGACGCCCGTTCGTGTACGCGCTAGTTCCCGATATGCACTGATTACACCTCTGAAACATGGAGGCAGGTCGAACGTATGTTCAAGGTATCCCACATTCCTTGGGTGGAGAATCGCGCCCTTCTCTCGGGGAATCTAGGCTTCTTCTGCCGCGAATGTGTGGAGAAGCGCGTTCCGGTTCATTACCTTTCCGACATTCTCGAGGTAGGGGCAGATTCTCGCGACAGAGCTTCTTCGAAGGTGGGCGATGATTCGACGATGAGATTAATCATCAACTTATTCAGATTTTTTCTCCCGGAAGATTCCCTCAAGGGTTCATTCCTTGGAGCGATACTGGCATCTAACCAATGAAATTGACGCCATCCGTCGAGTAAGAGTGAATGAGCTCGGGTAGAAGATGTAGCATCCGGGCTGTTTGACCCGGATGTAGCATCCGCAGACCCACTACAGGTGTCCTATAAAAGGGGTCTCGTTCTGGAATCTCCGACGTCGTTATCGAGGGGTCCTTCAGCAACACGACATAAGGGGCCTGCAGAGAGCGAAGATTGGGAGGTCTCTGTATTGAGAGGGCTTGCACTCCCGAGAGCGGGGAATCGTTACCCTATTGAGGCTCCGCTGTGGTCGAGACCAGTAACGTACGTGCCATAAATATTCGATTGAAGAGCACGCTCGTCTATTCTTGGAGCCTCCAAAACCTGCCCCGTTGTTCGAGACAGCTCGTATGTTCGAGGCTGCTTCCCTGATTCCCCCATTCTCCAAAATGTAGACAGAGTAAGGCTTCTTCTGTCGATGAGTCCAGGACCGCCGGACCCATCGTACCTATACGTAGGCCGTAAGGAACAGTCTATCAATGTCCTTTCCGTGGATCCTTTTCAGTCTTTTGGACATGGATACTCGATCTCCGGCTCCGAAAAGTGCTCGTTCATTAGAGTCTGCTCGCAGGTATGAGTGAGACCGCTCTTTCATTCATTTCGAGCCCTCAGAACCTGCTCCTCTATCGGAGGCTGCTCCTATGTTCGAGACTGCTCTTCAATTAGAACATTCACGGTAGAGGTGAAAATCGTCGAAGGGATCGTATTGTTCTCCTACGCGATTTCCCGTAGGAGAGGCTCTCAAGCGCTCCATTTTCGTTTCTCGAATTTGAAGCTCGAGATTCAGGCGTCCCATGGGCGCGATAAGAGTCTTCTATTCCGAGTCGAATTTCCGCGAGGCCTTTCGTCCGAGTTTCTACCAGGAACATCACCGATACATTCTCGGACCGATGTCTCTGGGCAGAGAAAATCAAATGCGCGAGCCACGAATCGAGATTCTCCTAAGTCCCACCAGGCGGCGGCACATGTACCGCACACTTTCAACACTGGAAGCTCACGGCGGCACCAAAGATGGCGTCCTTTGAATTATTCGTATACCATACCTCAAAGGCAAAGTCTTGTGGTGGCACGAACAAGGAGAGACAATGTACTTCCTTGCATTCATGACTCTGATTGCTTCCATTGATTCCAGTGTCCCACCCCAAATTGTGCCCGTGAAGCTTTCCGACGACTTGGAAATCGGTCAGAGACTGGGTATTGTGTGCTCAGTCCGAAAAGGAACGCAGCCAATAACTTTTCAGTGGAGGAAAGACGGTGGTTTACTCCATGAAGATCAGCTTGTGAGAATTTCACACAACGATGATTACCAAGAGACCCTCCAGATCCTCTACCTAAACTCATCGCATGTCGGAAATTACACTTGTTCGACAAAAAACCCCTATGGGTCCGATCAAATGGGCGTGCGAGTTATCTTGAACCATGCTCCCATCTGGATCTCAAATGAAACTTCAGTCTCTGGCGTGGCGGGTGAAAACGTCTCGCTGAACTGTGAAGCTTCAGGACATCCAACTCCAATTATTACCATGCTGAAAGGTGGGTCATGAATCTGACGGGTCCGAGGCTCGAGCTCGGCATTCGCCTGTCGGATTGAGTTCCCGCTCCGGATTCAGGATAGCGGGGCCTAATTGACTCCTCGCCCCTCGGGTTTCAGAGGGAAAGGCGCAGCAAGCGTCTCCGACGGGCAATGGAAGGCTCCGAATCGATCCAGTCAAGCCCGGAGATGCTGGAACCTACACGTGTAACGCTACTAACGCGTTGGGTTCGATCACGAAAACGATCACTCTACAGCTCTCCGGTGAGGCCAAAATGCTTGCAAGTTCCGCTTCTATCACCATGAACTGTATCGTGCGCTCGCGATCTCTTTCACACTGCATGATATTTTCGGTGTGAACGATCAACTTTTCATAGAACGAATATTTCTGCAGCACATGATAGATCTGACAGATTGATGATGATGATGATGATGATGATGACAGATGATGCTCATGAGCATGATGCATACATTGGGAGCTCCATCATCCATCATACTCCCTATTATACTCGTGTGTCATATGCAGTCCTATCAAAGCAGTGGCGGGATTATGACGGACGCTGTACACGCGCCTCAGCCCCGGCTGTAGCTGATCTTGACTCTGAGGGTCAGGCCGATCAGAATCGAGTCGTGATTGAGAAGTTGTTCGCACCGGCGCGGTGCCGGAATTTTCATCCTGCAGATATATATGTATGGGACGCGGGCAGTAGAGCCCCAAGTTCCGCTCGAGATGAAAAATTATTAGCACAACGTTACGCAGCGAAACGCATGTTTGAACTCGAATTGCGGAGCACGCCGCGCCGGTCTCTCGAACTTCCGATGGCGACGGTCACCACGCATGTGTTACACGTCCTCTTAAAATTCTCGCCAGCATTATATGAGGGATCTGATCATAAGCTCACAATCGGTTGTTGAGCTCCACTCACGCAGAGTCGGAACCTCCTTCCTGGTTCGTTCTCTGATGAGATTTCGGGCGTCGAACCCACTACTGGTTCCTGTACTCTGCAACGAACGGAATTCCGCGGGAAATGCCCGCCCGGGTTTTGTCGGAAACAGCGTGCAATATCTGTATTCTAGATCGAACTCATTTGACTATTCGAGTTCAGCCTCCGGCTCCGTTGGGATCAGCACAGCTTGACTCACACGAAACGATAAGCAATAATAAACTTAATAATTGAGTCCCCGAACTAGGGTGATGAGACAATCAAGCTGTGCAGGACAGCACACCTGCATTCGTATCCGGCGCGAATACCTCTCGAGTCGAAAATTTGCGGATTGTCCCACAGGAGGGCGCTACGGGTACCGACCCACAGAGAGATACCCAAGCTTATGGCGGTAGCAAAATGGCTCCTCAGGAAGAAATCATGTTGCTTTCTGCGTTGTGTCTCTCGATTCTTTTCACCAGTGGAACTGTCGGTTCAGCTCCCTCCCCACCACAAATCGCTCAGATGAAAGTTCCTGATCCGCTGGAGGAAGGACAGAGACTAGTGATCGTGTGCGCCGCCGTGAAAGGGAGTCTCCCGATTTCCTTCTCATGGCGGAAAGATAATGCACCCCTGAATTCGTCGAGTGTTCGAATCGTCCATTCTGATGACTACCAGGACCAGTTGCAAATCGACAAACTCGGTATCGATCATGCTGCCAACTATACCTGCTCGGCTCGGAACGCATTCGGATCCGATCAGATGAGTGTCTCTGTGAATCTCAACTTCGCTCCTGTGTGGGTTCATGATGTTCCGGAGATCAGGAGCGTACCCGGGGAAAGCATCTCGATAGACTGTCGAGTATCGGCCTCCCCGACAGCGACGATACGCATTTCGAAAGGTGAGCCCGTGGAGAGGATATTTCAGCGTTCTAATCAACGATCCTCAATCATCGACATCATGCAACATCCACCTTATGTAACTGATTCGATTTTTTCTCTGGCGAGTCATTGCGGAACCCTAGGATGAAAGACCGATTTCTTCTCCAGGAAAACTCCCGCTGCGGAACTCGCACGGAGTGCGAGTCGCGGATGGAGTCCTCGAAATTTCGACTGTAAAATTGACGGACGCGGGAGTCTATACTTGTGAGGCATCGAATGATTTAGGTTCGATCGAAAAAAACATCCTCTTGTCTTTGAACGGTGAGATCGCCGACTTTCTGGGGGTCATTCCAAAATGGCCTACTCACTCGAGTCGAATCGTGACAGCTACATAGCGATAACTTGAGTTTGAGGGTCCTCTGAAGGCCTTTCCGGGCGTATATCGGTCGATCTAGCTTGTGGTCGACACACTCTCAAGGGGTCGTTCCACGGCACAAAGATCTCCTGCGACCTCGCCCTTGTATATGAGATGTCCGCCTGACGTTCCCCCGAGGTGTGTGATCGTGATCAGCGCTTGAATCTGAAGGACGGCGGAGAGATCGTCGGGTTATACTTTCTGTCGGGTTCCGCTAGGGGGCGCCTCTGGTATCGACCATCGGTGAAGCTTATGACTACACCAAGATGGCCTCTCATTTTAAAATGACGCCGCCCAGGCTAGTCGTGATCGTTATCGTGACAACCTTGAGTTCTGCCCCGGTGATTGCCGGGGAAGCGCCCCGCATCGGCCCCATGAAGATTCCGGATGACTTGAAAGAGGGCCAACGTTTGGCCATTATGTGTGCAGTTCTCGAAGGAGGTCAGCCGCTGTCATTCACATGGAGGAAGGATGGCGTTCCGCTTGGTCCTCAGATCGATCTGAAAATTCTCCAAATGGACGAGTACCAAGAGCAACTGCAGATTCTGAAGTTGTCCACGAATCATATTGGAAACTACACATGTGAGGTGAAGAACGCTTACGGGTCCGATCACATCTCTATCCAAGTTTTGATGAAGTTTCGCCCCGAATGGCTCCTGTCCGGAGAGACATCCCCAATCGTCAGTTCTGCCGGAAGTCGAGCTACAGTGGATTGCAGATCGAAAGGATACCCGAAACCAGATATCCACATTAAGAAGGGCAAGTATTCTAATCCGATTTGTGATAAATAAGCTGAGCGGGCCTGACTGTTGAAAGCTCAGCCAAGCTCCGAATGAGCCAGACGAGGCTGACGAGGGAGAGGTTCGGATAAAAAACTTCGTCTGTAGCACGCTCCCTCCGAGATTGCATGCTCTCGTCTTATGTTTCCACCATCCAGAGCGCTCGGGACCCTCCTGCCGCCGATTCTTCATCTCATGACGTAAATGTGGAGCTCTGGAAAGGCGGAATCGGCAGCTTTCTCGGATGATCGGGAGACCAGCTCGCTCAGGAGGGAGCGAGAGGGGATTTTCCACAGCCGCTCAGGTTGACCAAGACTGATCCTTTTCCGTTCTTATGAATTTCAGGGAAGGATTTGATTGTATCATCCGACAGACGGAACATCAGAGACGGTCTTCTCGAAATAGACAACGTCGGTTCTTCCGATGGGGGCCTTTATCAGTGCGAAGCGTCCAATTCTATCGGCTCCATATCCAAATCAATCAAACTCACCCTGAAGGGTAACCAATCACCTGGAAGTCGAAACCTCACCCATGAGTTATTTCTCCTGTGTTATGCTTCTCGACGCAATCGCATAAGATGCCTAATTTAAGACGCATAAGAGGTCGGGAAGGACCCCAAGTCTTGCGCCCGGATACAATTCCCAGTCGTTTCGATTTAATGACACCAGACGGAGCCACTTGTTCCTGCTTGGCACCGAAAAACCTAGCGGCCAGCATCAATATGGCAGCCATTTTGAAAATGACGCCGAGAGTTGAATGATCAGATTCTCTGGAGTTAATGTTTCATCGAGCTAGGACTGAAGGCTCCGAGGTAGAACCTCGATGATGAAGAATGATCCCTTGACTATGGCGCGTATTGTTGCAGCGAAGTTCTTCTGCGGGGACGAGAATCTAATCGTCTGATACAGTCCATGAAGTCCAATTAAGAGCCCAAGAAGTCCACCAGTAGTCGGTAGTGGCCGAGCCGCCACTGTCGCTCATCCGATTTCCTTTAGATGCGGCCATAAATTGCTCCGTGAAGCTTTGAGTGCTCCCGGAACTCTGCGTGAACCAATTCCGATTTTTCAAGAGATTGAGAGCTTTCCCTCGTGGCGTAGCAGTCGTTAGATGATGGGCTCCTCGAGATAAGAGAAGTCGAGCAGTCCGACATTGCGAAGTATAATTCTCGAACATCGAATGCTCTTGGTGTCCTGACGCGAACTTTCCAATTGAATTTGATGTGCGAACTCCCACGAAAGAACGTTGAAGTCCGTCTTCTCACTATTTCATCGCGAAACAGGGGCTTGGTACAGCTGCGGAGAACTACGGTAACGGATAATAGTATCTCGCTGAGGCACGGCTTCATGGCCGATTTGGGTAGCTATAAGCTACATATATAATGGGACCTAGATGCGGCGTGAGCTTATCGGACCTGGAATAAAAATCGCAATAAGACACGTGCCAGGCACCGGGAGGATTTCGAAATTCAGCTCCATTTCTCCTTCTCCCGGGTCTCACCAGACGGAGCAACGTGTTCCATCAAGGCAATGATGATCAAAATGGCTGCGATTTTCAAATGACGCTACCAACCATGATTCTCGCGTGCTTGACGATCTGTATTCTGAGCGGGAGTATCTCCGCTGGTGTCGCCCCGCGCATAATCCCGATCAAGATACCAGACGAACTGAAAGAAGCGCAGAGGTTCGCCATAGTATGCGCCGTAGCGGAAGGGAGCCAGCCTCTGAGTTTTTCATGGCTGAGAAACAATAAGCCCCTCGTATCTTCAAAGGATGTGAAGGTTCTCCAGACGGACGATTACCAAGAACAATTACAAATCATGAGTCTGTCGACCACTCATGTAGCGAACTATACGTGCATCGTAAAAAACGCGTACGGTAGTGACCACATAACTATCCCAGTGCTCATGGAATTCAAACCCAAATGGAAGGCCGCAGAGACGGAGAGTGTTGTTGAAAGCGCCCTAGGTGGAAGCGTCATAATCGACTGCAGAGCGGAAGGCCATCCGGCGCCGGAGATATCCATCAAGAAAAGTAAGTCCTTGAAACTTCTGATATGCGCTACTGCAAACATACTCTTATCATGGAAATCTGTCTCGTAGCTCCGGCAGGGATTCAACATTAGATGCAGAAGTTTCCCTCTGATTCAGAACAGTGGAAAGCGGACATCTGCCCATACGTAGCCGTGGCGCTCAGAATCATACCAACCTGAGGACTCATATACTCATATCTCTTGCAGATGGTGGCACCCTGAAGCTTCGTAGCGGGAAAGAAACTGGTCTTTTCGAAATCGAGGACTTGAATGAAGCTGACAAGGCTAACTACGATTGCGAAGCAACGAATAATCTCGGAGCCGCGATCAAGACTGTTCGGCTCCACCTAACCGGTAAAAAATTAGAGCCAGGAATCTCGGAAGCCGTGATTGGTGGGAGCGCCTCAGTTTCCGACTGGGGTGCTTCAGGGTTTACAATTTCCAAAAGCAGTAACCTGTAAACCCTATGCGATCCAATCGGTAACGGAGAGGATCTCGGATCTGATGGGAGCTTCCAAAATGATCCCCGATTCGGTATGCAGGCACTCAGACATACATGGATGTTCATATGAGTGCCCATCAATGTTTTTCGAATTCGGGAGGAGTCGACGCTTTGCTTTTGGTCCCGCTAGGGGGCGCCACGGGTACCGAGCCCTGTCTGGGGAGGCACGCTGAGGCGGGTCTGAAAAGGCAGCTAGTCCGACTGGCGAGCCGTGTGACGCCATGAATGTATTCTATATCCTCTCAGTATTCTTGAGCTCGATGTTCGGGCACGTCGACGCGAGCCCTCCGCAGTTGGCGCCAATGAAAGTGCCTGAAAACCTCGAACAAGGCCAACGACTCGCCATTTTGTGTGCGGCTCTCCAAGGCTCCCAGCCATTGTCGTTCTCATGGAGAAAAGACAACATGCCCCTCAAGCTGAGTAGTGAAGTGAGAGTGTCACAAGAAGACTATCAGGAAACTTTGCAAATTCAAGAGTTGAACGCCGAACATTCTGGCAACTATTCATGCAGTGCTCGGAACATTCACGGATCCGATCTGATGTCGGTTTCTGTCCTCGTCAAATCGCCGCCGAGATGGGTTCAACATGACGAGAATGGTGTCATCGATGCTGTTGCGGGAGCTTCCATAACCGTGAACTGCGCAGCATCGGGACTACCAACACCAATGATTCGCATTTTTAGAGGTGAGTCGGTGGAGGATCGAGTCGCTATCATTATCGACCGTATGCTTGGTATTCGCTGCCCGCTACGCCCTCGATCACCTGGACCATTTCGCTTTCAGATGACAAGCTTCTGGATGGTGGCGAGGGATACGAAATTAGAGACGGAATCTTGGAAATTCAGAGTATTCGGCTCGGGGAAGCGAGCTCGATCAAATGCGGGGCGACGAACGCCTTGGGATCAATTGAGAAGAGCGTGAAAATCGCTCTAATCGGTAATGCTTATCGGTCGGCCGACCTCACTCGCTCCTTCGGAAATCTATGCGATCAATTATTTCTCTCTTTCGGAATAGGTAGGTCTGATAGTCTCGGGGAGACCCGGGCAGGTGCGTCTTGAGAATCATGGACCGATTCCTCCAAAGACTGCTCTGGGAGCCTCCTCCACCAGTCTTAGGGCCGGAAGCCCGACTCTCGCGAAAAAATCCCCTGCTCCGATACACAAGCTGACCGGAGAGAAGCCTCGGTCGAGATCTCCTCGCTCGCCAGCGCTCGGAATGAGAGGAAATGCTCAGGGCGTGCAAATTTTGATCGTCTGCAGCCCGGATCGGTTCGAGGGAAGAGGAGAGCGATCTGACTCCGCGCCGTATGTGCACGTATACGCAAGAGAGTCCCGCTCCTCACATAGACATCTCGGTGAACTATGCCTGATTTGAGGATTCTATCCGCTCCTTTCGGGACGATTCGAATCTGGCGGAGTCCGCTCCTTTCGGGACGATTCGAATCTGGCGGAGTCCGCTCTTAGAGCCACTTTGTACCTTGAGGGGGCGCCACGAGCTCCGTGGATATTCCGATGTGGAAGCTACGGGCGCGCGTCAATATGGCGGAGCATCTCTCTGGGAATCTCAAGCCAGCATGGGCGCGACAACCGTGTACTACTCCGTTTTCCTGGCACTGAAGTTCACTGCCGCAGTATGGGGCGAAGCCCCTCAAATCGTTCCGGCGAGAATCCCCGACGTCCTAGAGGAAGGACGACGGCTTGTGATATTGTGCGCGGTAGACAAAGGCTCGCTGCCGATCTCGTTCTCCTGGAGGAAGGACAATCAAGCGCTTCTGACAGACGGAGAAGTCAAAGTTCTTCATCTGGACGATTATCAAGAGCAGCTCCAGATACAGAAGCTGAACTCCGCTCATTTCGGGAACTACAGTTGCGCTGTGAAAAACATCCACGGTTCCGATCAAATTACGGTGCCAATTGTAATCAAGTTCGCTCCGCGTTGGTCAACGAGTCCAGATGACAAGCCGATCAACGCCGTGTTTGGAGCTAGCGTAGTGTTGGATTGTAGCGCGCGAGGTCACCCACCGCCTGCAATCATCATACGCAAAGGTGAGCGCAGATAATAATTGTTGCCCGCAGACTGTCGGACTCCGATTCCCACGGAGGAATCGTCAGAAGACTTTCCCAGAGTCGACGACGAATCTCATCCGAAACTGCGGAGTCAAACAGAGACTTCCACTTACAGGACTCGGGATCATTGAGAGTTCTCAACGTTATCACATCGAGAACGGTGTCCTAGAAATATCAGCCGTCTCTTCCGAGGACAGCGGCGACTATGTGTGTGAAGCGAGCAACGACATCGGGAGCATTCGCCGCCCGCTACGGCTCTCCCTAATCGGTACTATTGCTACGGATCTTCTCGGAGAGTCTTGTCTCGAAACTTTCCAGACTGAAAATATTGTAGATACATGCTTTTGAGGACCAGCTCGACGAAACTTCATGCGTCCGGCTACGTTCCGAATTCATCCATCCCGTTTCGCTGATTATTTTTCGAAGGGGCGCTGGACGGTGTCGTTCGCGCAGTATGCACGCTGAACCAAAATGCACCGTCGCCTTGAGACCACTTAATTTCGATTCCTCGTGAAATCAGAATATTCGCGGTCGTCAGCGGAAAACTGCAGAGGACCTGCGGTGCAGGCCCCCGAGGAGGGGGAGAAAACCTTCAACGTTTCTGAAGGCGAGCTACCTATTTATGTTCCGGCGTTAATATCATTCACCGGCAGTTAGCTTCAACGGTACTAGCCCGGTTCCGAGAGTAGTAGTCAGATGTACACCGAAGTGACGGGCACTTCGTTCGAGCCGCCCAAAAGGCTCCAGATATCGAGAATGAATTGGACTCACATTTTCATTCCCGCGATGAATGCTGAATACTCGTTGGTCATTACCCCGGCGGTCGAGAAGACGACGCATTGCGGGCTGAGGTCCATAACGGCTGGGATCTGGCGGCGAACCATTTCAAAACTCGTGTCTGTTGCTCAAGTTTCCGTTTTGTTCCACGAGGCGGAGCCACGAGTCCTGAAGAGGTCCTTCCTCCGCGGCGAGTCCTAGCGCGCGTCAAGATGGCGGAGTCCTGTGTAGCCGCAATGGGTGTGTTGAATACCTTGGTACTCGCCGTAGTAATTGCCGAGGGTGTTCAGGCAGAAGCTCCTCGGATCGTTCCTGTAAAAGGTCTCGATGATCTCGAGGAGGGACAACGGCTTCTCATCGGCTGTGCTCTCCGCCAAGGGACGCTTCCGATTTCCTTCGCTTGGAGGAAAAATAATGCGGTGCTGGTTCCGGGCGGCAATGTGAAAATTCTGCACTTCGACGACTACCAGGAACAACTGCAAATTCAGAGATTGAGTGTTGAGGACGCTGGGAACTATACGTGTGCTGCCAAGAATCTCCACGGGTCTGACCAGATCTCTGTGTCTGTGGTAATGAGGTTCGCTCCGCGCTGGAAAATGGCGAGCGATGGCAAAGTCATTACCAGCGCTGCGGGTGATAATGTTCGTATCGACTGCCGTGCCGATGGATATCCGACACCAACAATTAGAATCGGGAAAGGTCAGTCTGATGAGTGTCCAAACTGTCGGCTGATTTTAGGCACAGGGATCCGCTTCCTTTGGCGAGGATTCCTTCCTTCGCTGGCATCATCGGATGTAGGAAATTCATCGAGCTTTCCCCATTTTAGGGGGATCCTATTCGGACACAGAGCATTGGCAGTCATTGCAGAACGGAATCTTGGAAATTCCCACCGTATCAATGGAAGTCGGGCGCGAGTTCATTTGTGAAGCTTCCAATGACCTGGGAAGCATAAAGAAAACAGTGAAACTTCTTTTAACTGGTGAATTTCCGGATGCGTGGAGAACTCCGATACATATTCAGTAATAATGAATATCTAGGTCAAGTATTTGCGGGAGCGACGCGACTGTTTCCAAGGATGAATTCTTGGTGTATGTACAGGTGTGATATCTAGCTATCTAGTGACCTTATATGTAAACTCGATCGGCCCGAGAAATCCCGTGGAGTCCTCGAGCTGTTCCGTCGACTATCAGACGGATGAATCGATCTGTGGGATCATGAGTAGGGGGAGAATTGTCTCCACGCGCGCGAAAGATCTTCCACGATCTGAACGTCGGTGCGGAACTGCGCGAGAGTTTCCCCTAACCCCCTCTCGATCCATTTTCCCCGGGTCCTCATCATGACTCCCAGGGTCATCGATGAGCGTGTTTTCCGGGTCGAGGCTGCGATCCTCAAGAATGCTCGATCATGATTCTCGCTTCGATGCGATTGAGTGAGCTATCTAAGTATTGAAAATTACGACAGGTCGACCTGGCAATTTTCGAAAAAGGTGCGGCTTCTCACGGCTCACCGAGTTTACTTTGAGTTCCGTGAGGGGGCGCCACCCGTACTGACGAACGGAGGAGCCTCGAGCTCACGGTGCCACAAAATGGCTGGCGTCTCGGACGCCATGGCGAATCGTAGGGAAGAAGCCTTTTCTTCATGTGACTTGATTATGTTCCTTTCTCTCATGGTTTTGACGTGTGTGGAATGTGCGGCTCCCCAAATCGCTCCAGTCAAATTGGACGACATCAAAATGGGCCAAAGAGTGACCGTACTGTGCGTCCTCAAAGAAGGATCCCTGCCCATTTCTTTCTCCTGGACGAAAGATGGTTCGCCGATCAAATTGAGTGAAAGCAGTCTGAAAATTCTCCACAACGATGAATACCAGGAAACGCTGCAGATAGCGAAAGTGGCCCCGGATCATGTAGGGAACTATACATGCACGGCAAAAAATTCGTTCGGGACGGATCAAATAAGTGTATCAGTCCTCCCTCACTTCGCACCCATGTGGATTGATTCGGATGTGCGATCGATATCTGGAGTCGCTGGTCAGAGGATTGCATTGAATTGCGCTGTGAAAGGACTGCCGAAGCCATCAGTAAGATTTTGGAGAGGTAAGTTGAGAGTAGGGAGCGATCAGGATTCCACGCCAGGCCGGCGTCGCCCTCACTTCGCTCGTCCAGAATCTAACCACAGTAGCGTTGCATTTCAGGCAGATCCGAAATAGTTCAGGGCAGCCGCTTTTCGGTCGAAGACGGCATCCTGAGAATCCACCCCGTCACAGGAGACGACGGGGGAGAATTCGAGTGTCGAGCTCGGAATGAACTCGGAGAAATCCGAAAGAAAATATCGGTCCTCCTAACTGGTAAATCTGGGGACTCAGAGGTTCGATATTACGATAAATTGCGCCTCACATATTTACTTGCGAGATCACACATGCAGCATATCGGGAGATCATGTTTTCCCCTGGTAGGATAGAAACTCTTTGTTCACATCATCGTGGGCGAGAAGATGATTACTCGATCTATTTTCCCGAGCAAGGAATGCCGGCTGATTGAGATTGGGTTGATTGTGGCTTATTAGTAACGAGTGGGTACGATCGAAAGGCCGAAGCCGCAGCACTCGTGTACATAAACCCTTTGAGCGATGATTCAGATGTGACAACTGTTTCATTGATGATGAGAATTACTCTCTCCCTGGGAGCTGGGATACCTCATACCTGGGCCGTCGTGCACCCAGGCGAAACTTCTTCTGATGGCCTCGTATGGTGACGTTTCGGTTTTCTTGGTGACGTCCACAGAGAGGACTCTTCGCGGGTTATTCTTATCAGCCCTTCGGTGCTGGAGAGACCGACTGTTTGGGGATTCGAGAATTCATATTTCCGCGCCCGACGTCACGCTCCTTGCCAAAATGATGGGAGTACCGCAAGGGGGAGCCACAAGTTTCGTACGGGGTATCCTGCGAGCGAAGCTCACGGCGCGACAATATGGCGGATCTCGGAGACGCCATGCGGGAAAGAATGGGAGCGTTCACCCAAAGTCGCGTTCTGTGTCTTTACCTGATAATTCTGTGTTGTATCACGAAGTCTGAAACTGCAGCTCCCCAGATCGTGCCCGTCAAACAGCAGGACGATACCAAAATGGGACAACGAATCGTGATATCTTGTGCTCTGAGGGAAGGGACTCCGCCGATATCGTTCTCCTGGCGTAGGAACGGTGTCCCTGTCGAGCAGACTGGAGAAGTGAAAGTGATCCACAACGACGATTTCTTGGAGACGTTGATTATATCTAACGTTTCTCCGACACATGTCGGCAATTACTCTTGCTCGGCCAAGAATTCTTTTGGTTCTGACCAAATGAGCTGGGTAGTTGCGCCGAGGTTCGAACCCCTCTGGAGGAATGCAAACGCTCCGTTCACGGAAGGACAGTTAGGACAGCCCCTCGTGTTGGATTGTTCGGCGGACGGCTTGCCGACCCCCACGATAAGCTTCTATAGAGGTGAGCCGCTTCGTATGATTCCGAGGAAGAGCACCATGCTTCTTGCCCTCGCGGGATCCTTGAATGGATCGTGCGAATTCCCGACTCGATTTTTCAGGGACTGTCGAGATTCGTCTACCAACAAAGCGAATCGCCATGAATAATGGTCTGGTCATGTTCCGGAATGTCCAGGCGGAGGACAAAGGCAGCTACCAATGTCGCGCTTCCAACAGCTTAGGAGAGATCCGAAAAATCATAGAGCTCCACCTGACCGGTAAAAAATCGAGAAGAGCTTTTTGCCTCACTGGGATACCGACGCTTCGGAATCTAATATTTTGCAACCCCTAACGTCCGATCTCCGGGAGATATTGGCGGATTTTCAAGACGAAAGGCCGCCCCAGTTTTTCGAGGGTATGCCTTGATTGGAATTCGGGAACCGTTATGACAATGGCGGGGTAGGTCGATGCGGTGGATCGGTCCGTAGCGTCGCGATTCTTCTCTTGTACATATATGATGAGGGCATTCCTCTAGCGTACCCCTTGGAGCGACATGGGAGCTACGTCAAGTGCATCCCGAAACCCGAGTCACAAAACTCCCGCGCGTTCTCACGCTATCAGGAAGCATTTCACGAGTCCCGTGAGGGGGAGCCACCAGTACCATACCAATTTATCGACAGAAGCTCACGGCGCGACAAGATGGCCGTGGCCTCAGACGCCATGAGTAGTCCTGAGAGGATGGCGACCGAATCATGTGTCCTGAGAATCAGTGTCTTATGTGCCATAATCATCGGGTCGAGAGCATCCGCGCCTAAAATAGTAACTGTCAAACCGTTAGATGATATCGAAATTGGTCAGAGGGTGAATATCGTTTGCTCCCTGAAAGAAGGCACCCCGCCGATATCGTTCTCCTGGCGGAAAGATGGGACTTTGATTGAACAGAACGCGGAGCTCAGAGTTCTCCACACGGATGAGTCCCAAGAAACGCTACAAATCACCAGAATATCTTCGGACCATTCTGGGAATTACACGTGCTCGGTGAAGAACGCTTTCGGCTCCGACCAGATGAGCCTATCTGTACGACCGAGGCATCAGCCCATATGGATGGACTTGAATACGACATCTGTGATAGGTGTCCTTGGCAGTGCGGTCTCTCTGAATTGTGGTGCGAAAGGTTATCCCGACCCCAGCGTCCTCGTCCTGAAGGGTGAGTTTTCCGTTATTCAGGCCGCATCTGAATATCGTTCGCTACAGATTCTTCATGAGTCGATCCTGTTGCAGACACCAGGGAGATCGCACCGTCCGAGCGCATCAGACTTTCGGACGGGATAGTCCGAATCGCCGCCATAAGCTCACGGGACAAGGGTTCATACGAGTGCATTGCGAGGAACACCGTAGGAGAGATTCGAAAAAATGTTGTTCTGACCCTGACTGGTATGAGCGTTGCAGCGATGGACCTCGCTGAAAATTCCCTAGGCTGAACACTCCCCCCGTCCATGCGGAAGAAAAGTGGACGAACATCCACCTCTATCAGTGTGATTCTGGAAATAGCCTTGGAAGAGAATTACGGGCGCGATTCATTTAGAGTCATTGGCCTCGGTTTTTGAAATGCCGCGCGAAGCCGCAGGGCTGAATGAGTTTTCTCTGGGTCCCACGAGGGGGAGCCACCTGTATCGGGTATTTCGGATGTGAGATGCTGACGGCGGGACGCGTCAAAATGGCCGAGCTCATCGTGCCTTGGTCCCTCTGAGCTGCGTTGTCGGATAAGGATGCGGTTCATCGCGGAAACGGCCTTCTTACTGGGCTGCTGCGCGGCGGCTGTCGCGAAACCGCCCCATATCGTGCCTTTCGCGTTCATAGACGACATCAAAATGGGCCAACGAGTTGGCATCCTTTGCTCACTCAGAGAAGGAACTCCGCCGATTTCGTTCGCATGGCGCAAGGATGGTCTTCCGGTCTCACAGAGGAATGGTCTAAGTGTTTCGAACAATGGCGAATATCAAGAAACCCTTCAGATTGCCGAAATAACCCCGGATCATGTGGGGAACTACACCTGTGCCGCTAAAAACGCATTCGGATCTGATCAAATTAGTGTTGCCGTGCATCCGAAGTACCCACCTCATTGGGTGAGACCTGATGTGAAAACAGTTTCTGGAGCTCCGGGACAGATGGTGTCATTCGACTGCGCTGCCAAAGGCGAACCGGAGCCCCAGATCGCATTGTTCCGAGGTTTGGCTTCCATCTTGGATTCTTTGGACGGCAAATTGGCCAATTCTCCCTTGACGGGTCGAATAATTCGGGTCGCCGCTTTATAGGCGAGACGGAGCTGAGATCTTCAGGACGGATTTCACATGAGAACGGCTTGATCCGGATCAAGCCTGTTGAAGCAGATGATCAGGCTGAATACGAATGTCGCGCATCGAATACCCTCGGAAAGCTGCGAAGACGGATCGTCTTGACATTGACCGGTAAATTGATCGTAGAGATCCCTCTGTAATTCGGAATACCCGACTTAGGTGAACAGAGAGGCGAAAATCGTGTTTCTCGAATGGCTTTTCGACTTCAACGAGGGAAAACTGTCGATTCTATGGCCAAAATCGATAAGGCTGGTAGGAGTTGTCTGCGATGACGGAAGACGAATCGAAACGGCGAACGCCTAAACGGATTTATACATAGTGTTATCTTGAATGAGAATCGACGCTATCGGCTTTCAATCTGACTGGGATTCTTATTCTTTTCTTAATGTTTGCAAACCGCCGAATTTCCGAAGTTCATACCCTCAGCCTCATATGCGCTCAACATATATCGACGTGAGGGAGGATCTAATAAACCAGATCCGCGACTAAGATGATTTTGGGGTCGCACAGACTATCAGGAAATTTCACACACATAGAAGACCTCATGAGAACGATGGGGAAGTCAGAGTCCCTCGTCGGAGTGCCGTAAGGGCGGCGCGGATCAGATGAGGGAGCAGACAGGGAATGAGGAAAACCTTCATACGCGAGAGAATGGCATCCGGATCCGTGGCCGCGCTTCGGAGGATGACTTTGATGCTGAGCGTAACAAATATGTATAGAGTACCGAGTCTCAAAGGAGGAGGCGAACCGAGTTATCGAGACGTCTCGGAAATTCTGGCGCGGAATCAGAGCTAATTCAGAGCTCAGGAAACGAACTCCTCGTCGAGCGTCGTGATGAGTTGGTATATTGATACGTATCGGAAGGAAGAACTCGGAGCGTTATCATCGATCATTCACGGGAGCAAAGAGGAAGGGATTTGTCGTGATGGCCAATATATCTGGGCATCTCTGGTTGCGGAAAAATACTCACTACGGATTCATCGGCTCTGAATTCGTATCAGTGGAACCCTCCTCGCGGATTTATGTCAAAATCGAGACGATATCGCCTATTTTCTGCATTTATTTCTACCGATGAGTGGAACTTCCCCAGTCTCTTCTCTCCGAGGTGCAAGCTGTGGGGTAAGATTTCGGATATGGCGCCAATAATAATCACGTCGATGTGACTTTGTTGAGTTCCACGAGGGGGAGCCACTTGGACCACCGGATCTCGACAGTGAGGGCTATTGGCGCGTCAAAATGGCCGGGCCAATAGACGCCATGGCGGAGCTCGGAAGGATGAGCGTTCTCTCACGGATAATCTATGTGTTGATTCTGTTTGTGTGTATCGTAAGAGTGCGCTGCACGGCTCCGAAAATAGTTTCTATGAAGCTTGTGGACGACATCGAGATCGGCCAGAGAGTCAGCATCGTGTGCACGCTGAAGGAGGGAACCCCTCCGATATCCTTCTCGTGGCGCAGGGATGGATCACCGTTGGTTCAATCTGATGGAGTGAGGATATTGCACAACGACGAGTTCCAAGAAAACCTTCAGATAGCGAAAATCGCTCCCGACCACGTAGGGAACTACACTTGTTCCGCGAAAAACGCCCATGGCTCCGATCAGATGAGCGTCGCCGTCGTCCCGAAGTTCAAGCCGCAGTGGGCAGATGGGACACGGAGGACAATAATCGGCATGGCCGGACAGAAAGTAACTCTGAACTGCTCCGCTAGGGGTCAACCACCGCCATCAATTAGTGTTTGGAAAGGTGAGAGCTAAATCTGGGATGGAACTCCCGATGGTGTCTGAGTGAGATTAAAGATATGATATCTCGCCGGACCTCCGTCGTTATGAGCATAACAAAGCCTCGTCTTGCAGTGGGATCGGAGGTCTCATCGTTGAAGCATCTTGCAACACTAGATGGTGTAATCGAGATGCGTTCAGTATCGCAGAAGGATGTCGGGGAGTACATGTGTAAAGCTTCGAATCAATTGGGTGAAATCCACAAGTCGATGACATTGTCGCTCACTGGTAATTATCAGTGTCGTCCGGCTCGATCCTGTATGAATCATGCTTGGGAGTGACAAAATAGAGCAGAGTATACGTATGGGTGTCACGTATGTAGGAGCATAAGACCGACGGGCTGTCGCATGATTAGAGCGTCCAATGCTTCTCGTGAATTCGTGGATATGAGTCCGTGAACCCGACTCCGTGAGCTTTGATTGAAGAGCTCCCGATGGCCTTCGGTTTTGGGTCCATGATCAGTTCGGACTGCACCGGGTATACATATGTGAATGTCGTACGTAGATTTGGTAATGAGTTCCAAGCAAAGCGTGAACTCGAAACACTTACCGAGCTCCGGGATCGAAGGTCCCGAGTCGGCTTGTGATCAAGCCACGGCATTGGAATCATCAAACGGCGGAACTTGCTCAAAGGAGGAGGGAATCAATCGCACGGGAGCTCATTCGGGAGAACGGGGTATTTCTTCATTCCGCTCGATAAGAATTTCAAGTGATAGTTTTGATATCCGGAACGATTGCACCATCTCTGAGCGGAACTCGGTGTTTCCGTCCTGTCCCGCAAGGGTGAGCCACCAGTCCCTCTGACCGACAGGGGACACATTAGAATGAGACGCGCGTCAAAACGGCGGATGAGGCTAGATTCGCCATGGGAGACACGAGCTTTTGTTTTGTGTTACTATTGTGTGGATTTATCGCCGATTCTGTGCATTGTGAACCACCTCAGATTGGTCAAATTACTGTGCCCGAAAATCTTGAGGAGGGCCAGAGACTTCGACTCAGTTGCGAAACACTGAGAGGCAGCTTGCCGATATCGTTCGCCTGGCAAAAGGACAGCACACCCTTTGTGCCTCTCGAGGGTGTCAAGATCGCGCGAGTCGATGATTTCCAAGAACAACTGCAGTTTCAAAACCTATCATCATATCATTTCGGAAACTATAGCTGTATCGCGAAGAACATCTATGGCTCCGACCAGGTCACTGCGCAAGTTTTGGTGAAATACGCCCCTCGTTGGACAGTTGCCGAGAGCGACAAAGCGATCCAACTGCTCTCTGAGGGGAGCGTCACAGTCGACTGCCGTGCTCGCGGTCACCCTAAGCCCTCGATCGCCGTGATGAGAGGTAGGTTGTTCCAGTGGTTTTCAAGCGTTGATTCGCGAATGAAACCATTGATGAGCCCCTCAGTACCCTGGCCCTGATCGAGCCTAGGGACGCGACGTCCGTCGAAAAAAACGAGGGCCTGACGATGGAATCTAACTGCGCTTCCAGGTGGCAAGAAAGTTGAATTCTCTGACAACTTTCGTTTCCAAGAAGGTTTCATCAACATCGAATCCAAACTCGGGGATAATATGAGGCAGTTTTCCTGCTTCGCGACGAATCCCTTGGGAACGATTGAGAAATCGGTCAAGCTATCGTTCTCTGGTAAGAAGCTTCATGTAGCTCCCATGAGTTGCGAGTCTTTACACGTTTTCCTCGAGATTGTCTGGGTCCCGTGAGAGAAAACTTGACCCTTCGGAATCATTCCCGAGTTCGTTTTCGACTCGAATCGTGGCGCTCCGCGTCCTCCCGGGTCGAGTTTCCATTCAGTCCCTCCAGGGGGCGCCACCCTTATCGAGGAAGTTCGGCATACGACAGCTCACGACGCGGCGCGTCAAAATGGCCGATAAGCGAGAGATCCAACTATCTCTGCCATGAGCTACTTCGTTTCCCCACGAATGTTGTGGCGGCATGCAACGCTATTTCCGCTGTGGTTCCCCCTCTTCGGTTGCGTCATTTCGAGGGGAGTGTCTCCGCAAATTGAACCAATGAAAACTTTGGAGAATGTGGAGATGGGACAGAGAGTGACGATCCTCTGTGCTATCAATAGAGGAACCCCTCCGATCTCTTTCTCCTGGAGGAAGAACGGAACTCCCATCGTTCAAGGAACAGATTTGAGGATACATCATAACGACGACTTCCTAGAAACATTGCAAATTTCGAATGTGTCTCCGAGCCACGTCGGGAACTATTCGTGT